GACATCAGAGGAGGGGGCGGGGGCGGGGGAGGAGAGGGGGAAAGGGGGAGGCGAGGCGGGGCGATGATGTGATGCAAATACGGAGGAGAAGCAAAGGGCCAACGTACCCAGCTGACATCTGAAGTAAAGTAACAAAGGGAAAACAGAAGGCGCCGGTGTGTGTATGGCGGGGGGAGGGAGGAGGTGTCACATAAAGCCCCGAGGAGAAGAATTCCGGCATCTGCGGCATCTTACGAGGAAGAAGGCGGCGGGTGGATGGGTGGATGACTGGGTTGGTGAACGAGTAGAAAGATTAATTATACATTGGGTGTGAGCGGTGTGAGCGGTGTATCGTATGCGGCATCTTTAGGAAGCAGGATTGGGTGGACCGGGGGCGATGATCTCCCTAGGGTTGCGAGCTCGGGATGCGGCGGTGGGTCGAGTTGCTGCATTGGATAGAGGTTCGCGATGTTGCTTAGGGCTTGAAGGACACAGGCGTGTGCATCGGGCAGGGCTCCGCGCGCGTGTGTGTGTGTGTGTGTGTGTGTTTTAAAAGGGGGGCTTCCCGAGGGGCGCCGGGGCGCATGTGTAAGCATGACAACGCATGACTATTTGTGGAAGCAGACGCGCGGCGGCGGAGGCTGCGGCCCCCTGATGATGCAGTCCGGGATCAGGTGCGGTCGTTGTCACCGTTAAGATTTAGTTAGGTCAGTTGGAGGTGCCACGCTCACCGGAAGAGGCCCATCTGGGCTGCCGCTTTCCGGCCGTACGCTTTGAGGAAGTCGGGGTCAGCCGCCAGGCATTCCTCAGCGCGTTCCAGCGCCTTGCTCCACTGTTTCAGTGCTAGGTGGGTTGCCGCAAGATTGGATAGCAGCACGGCATTTTTGGGGACGGCTCTGAGGGCTCTGCGGGGCAAGGATAGGAAATATGCTATTGGTGGTCCCGTAGCTCCACATCTGAATCAGGCACCCGCGGCATGCTTTGCTTATATCCGCTTGTATTGGAAAACAGCTTATCAACTCTGCAGGCTATGAAGGGCCGACAATCGGCGCGTCCAGCCTTGGGCACCTGGTGATAAAATGCCTATGAACTGAAGCTAAGCAATCTATGCTTACTCGGTATAGTATGAAAGAGCTTGCTTGAAGTCTTTTTCTGCGAAGCGCTTGTTGCCCTTGTCCTTGAGCTCCGCAGCAGCTGAGGGCAACTCGACAGATGCCATGCTTGTTTGTAAGAAGCTGCACACACTTGCGGCTCTCCGTTCCACGTGAAGCACTATGTCCCGAGGTTTTAACTCGCCGTACAACGGCCGCTGGATCGACACACGATCGAACCAGCGAGAACCACCCTGAGCTGTAGTCGTGAGACTATGGAAATAAAGGAGAAACAAACAATAAGATCATTTATGCGTGTTGGTGGCCTTAAGCCAAAACGAACGAGCTGGACAAGGTTGGGCGACATGGGTGGAACTCTACAGAAATAGCATAAGCCATGCTGGATATGCGTCTAGCTGTCGTTGGATTAGCTTCTATCGCGACATCTTTATCGTATTCGCTCATCGCTAGGCTGCGTGCGTAGACGCAGGCGTGCAGCCACCATAAAGTGGACAACGTAAATTTGCCGTGCGATATATGCTGGAGTTGGCTAAACAAGTCGGTACTGAAGCGTGCAGGTATGCCTGGCGGCACGTGTAAGGGCACGCACCAAGCTTTCACCATGCATAGTGCAATCCACCGTCATAGGTCACATGGCATTTCATCAAGTGCGATGCTCCATTGAGGATTTGGGTGGGACACATGGCCTTGTCGTTTAGTAGGACAATCAGTAAATGTTTGGTTTGGGGTTCAGGTAATACCTTGTTGTCGACTCCCGTCCTCCCCCGTCATACCCGTACGGCTTTTTAAATTGATCTCCTTGACCAAGCCCTTTCCATAGTAACAAGTTTGAAGGCTCATTGTGAGCACTTCGTGCTATGAATTGCTTACTGAACTTACACGTACGGCAGGAAAGGGAAAGTCGCTGTGACGAAGCACAATTATTGATATGGGAAACGGATAAAATCAAATTACAGCTTTATCGACTGTCTAATGTTCAACCCGTGACCTTATGGCCTTAGAATTTCTCAGCTAGCTCGCCAAGAGGTCAACCTGCATCGAACAGACTGTACTCTGCAGGCTCGCATTGATAAATCACCACTACATTTTCAAGTCTTGCTGGATCTGCCGTGGCAAAGTAGCCCACCAGCTTTTACCCATGCCGCTGCGACGTTTGGAGTGATGAAAATACTGGATGGCGGTGGGATAGATCCCCGTTTAACAAGTTGATTCAGGTATGTCACACACATCAACTCATAGGTTTATTGCGCCGAAGGCCCTATCGAATGCAGCCCCATGCAAAATGGCCTTGTGAGGCATTTGCTGGATAGGTTCTATTTTAAGAGACAAAATCTCTTGTATGTCATTAGTAATTACTGAGACACGGCAAAGTGGCTCTGCGCCGCTGGCTTCCGGTGGCGTGAGGAGGCCCGCACATGGCACCGTGCCCACAGGTAGCGCCCAAGCATCGCACAGATGGCATCATCCGAAATGCCCGCTGGACTGCAAGACCAACAACCGGACCACCGGCACCAGCAATCCCCCAGCCCCGGCAAACGGACAGTGCGTGGTGAGCAACACCGCCGTCATGCCAACGGCACCCAAAAATCGAACCCTCTGCTCGCACATCCTATCTTTCTCACCCTCACACCGTCCTTATTTCCCTAGGCCCACACAAAGGCCACCATTCCCCCTGCACCATCACCGTCACCGTCACCAACACCAGCACCACGATTACCAATATCATCACCTGGCACATAGCGCACTCGCACACCTGCCAGCCGCTCCTCGTCTGGGTCCCCACCCCGCTGATCCACATCGCCCGTACGTGATGTCCACGCAGGCGTCGCCATCCCGCCGCTGGACCTGCACCGCCACAGCATCCGGCAAAACGAACCATGGGATAACGGGCCTGAGGACCCGCCAGCACGGCCCTCACATCCAGCACTGCAGCAGCAGCAGCAGCAGTCCTTCGCCCCGCATCGAACAGCCACCAACGTCATCCGCGTTCGGTCGGACATGGCGCCGGACAAACGCGCCGTCACCGCAGCCGCCGCAGCAGCCGTCGTCACTGCCGCCGTCGCAGCCGCCGACGCCGACATCATCGGCGACGGCGGCGGCCAGGACCAGCAGCAGCAGCGGCGGCTCGGTCCGTGGCACATGACCTCCCAGGGGCACGGCGGCATTAACAGACTGGAAGGTGGCGCTGCTGTCGCGACGGACGCCCAAGCTACTGCGGCGGCGGTAGCGGTGGCGGCGGGGGCTATACACCGACCGAATGGCCCATCGGAAGGCTCAGAGCGTACGGAGCATGAGCGGGTGAGCCGCGGGGCGGTGGGAGATAATAAAGAGGAGGGCTGTGCGGTGTTGTGCTTAGCTCGTATGGCAATCGTCGTATGGCGATTGTCGTATGGCAATCGCACATTCAGGGAGCCCCATCAGCCTCGCGGCCCGCGGGGCCCGGCAGGGGGGCCCTATCTCAGCGGGTCTCGACCTTCCCCTCGGAGGTGTGGGATGCGGTGATGTGCTGAGTGCCAGGTGTAGGGCGGGGTGGGTGGGGGAACTGGAGTTAACTACGGAAGGTTTAAGGGGTTCAGAGCCGGGCGGGGGAATATGGCGTGGTGCGTCACCCCAAGAAGCCCATCTACACTTCCAATCCACGGGCGGGTGGTTGAGTGGGAGTGTGGAGGTGGGAATGTGCACGGGGAAAAGTGCACGCGGGAAAGTGCACGGGGAGGTGTGCGCTACTCCCGCCCTTACTCCACCCTCCATTGCCCTCCCGGCCCCCAATTTCACCCCCACTTCTTGCAGCATTCTCGGCAAGCAACACATCCGGACCAAGCGCGCAGTGCAGCTGCGGCCGCTGCCGCTGCCGCCACGTCAGCGCATTCGCAATCTCAGGGCCGGGCCCACCCGCACCCGCACCCGCATGGACATGCATTCTCGCACGCACAGTCTCAGGGCCGGCAAGTAGCCGCCGCAAGACACTCCAACAGCGACGCCCGCTCGTCCGCTAGTACGACTATCGCCGGTGCTCCCGGCGGCCAGCTGGCGACGCCGGCGGCGACGCCGGGACTGGGCAGCGCGCGGCCCTCTTCCGCGACGGAGGACATGGACGGACTGCCGCCGCTGCAGACGTTGCCGCAGAGCCCGATAACGCCGCCACAGCACGCGCACCCGCACGGCACCGGCCTGGCGGCGCAGGACTCACCGCGGTCGTACATGGCGCAGCCGTCGTCCCGGTCAGCCACCAGCGACGGCCGACTCGGTACGGCAGCGTCATCGCTGGGGTTGGCAGATTTGGAGGCCGAGGCGGAGCTGGCGCCGACGCCACCGCCGCAGCCGCAGCCGGCGGCAGCTCGTCTTGCTGACGGCATCGAGACGCTGGATGACGTCATGGCGCCGGCGCTGCGGGAACGTATTCGGTCCATGCTCTCCGTGCAGGTAAACCAGGTTCTTAAGAATAATAATGCGATAGTCCTATGGACTGCTGGGATCCGTCCTGGCAGATTCGGGGGTTGTGTGTGCGTGTGCGTGTGTGTATGCGTGTGTGTGCACGTACGTTGTTGTGTGTAATGACCTGCCTCAAAAGTCTCGGAGAAATGTTGCGACACAAAGGACGGTTGCTGCTTGCCCTGGAATGCCCCTGCTTTGGCCCGGGTCCACCGGGGAACCGGTAATTGCAACGGTAATTTAAAAGGCCGTATCCGTACCCGTATTTCGGGATATGTGGACTTGAACAGGACGCCCTGCTGGCGCACCAGGCCCGCATGAGGGCGTACGAGGAGGAGCGGGAGAAGGTCATTCGCGCCAGGGGAGGGGACCAGGGGGTCGCCACAGCGCAAGCGGGTGCCGGTCCCGGCGGTGCGGCCGGGGCCGTGCGCAGGAACTCCCGGTCGCTGCGGCTTGCAAGCAGCCACCGCAACACCGGCGGCGGCGGCGGCGGCCGCGGCGGCGGCCCTCGCGGACCCGGTCTGAGGTCGGGGTCCAGGTCGAGGTCCAGGTCGGCGTCGCCCCTGCCGCCGCCGCGCCAGTCGGTGACAGCTCTGCCTGCCACTTCCTTGCAGCCGGTCAGCGGGGCAACATCCGCTAATCAGGCGTCGGCGACATCGGCGGCAGCAGCAGCGGCGGGTCAGGCCACTTCCAGAGCTACCTCCCCGTCGTTATTGCCCCGGGCAAACGGTGTCGGAATGACGGGACGGAGGTCGCCGGATGTGGCGGCTGCGGCGGGGGCGGCAACGGCACCAAGGGACGGGCCGGCGCGACCCGTGGGTCTGTCGACTGCTCGGTCCTTGAAGCGCGTGCAGCTCGTAACCACGAAAAAAGAGATTGCCGCGGAAAAGGGAAAGGAGAAGGGCAAAGACGGTAGCAGCCGCCGCCACAGCAGCAGCAGCAGTAGCAAGAGGAAAAAGGACAAGAAGGGGAAAGGCAAGGTTCGGGATAAGGGCAGCAGTAGCAATGCTAGCAGCAGGAGCGACAACAACAGCAGCAGCAGCAGGAGCAGCAGTATCGAGAGCAGCAGCAGCAATAGCAGCAGCAGCGACGACAGCGGCGGCGATAGCAGTAGCAGTGACGGCGAGGGTGAGCGCGGCGGTGCGGCTTCTCCACCACCGCCGCAGTCACGCGCGAAGCTGATACGCACGGCTCCAGCATCGGCATCAGTTGCGTCTGGCTCTACGGCCACCGCCGCCGCCGCTTCCGCTACAGCCACGCCGGCAGCCAGCTCCAACGCAGATTCGACAACAACAGCGACGACGCCGCGCCAGAACGACGGCGCGACGGCCTCCGAGCCATCCTTGACGCCGCAGGCTTCCAGCACCTCGGTCCCAACCAGCTCTGCAGCCTCCGCCGCCAGGTCGTACGGCAGTGGATCCTCCCGTCCTGGCCGCTCGTCCATTCGCGCCAACGTGCCGCCGCCGCAGAGGATCGTCCTCCCTGGACCTCAGGGCGACCTGAACCATCTGCTGCTGTTGCTCGAGAAGCTGCCGTCGCGGACGCCGCGCGGGAAGCAAGCGGCGACGTCACTGACCCGTGGGTCGCTCCCTATCATCCCAAGCTATTTAGATTTGGCGCGGGCTCACAGTCCCGACCACCGCCAGCGGTTGAGCCAGCAGATCCAGCAGTTGCTGCAGTCGCCACGCGCGGGAAGCCCCAACGGCCGCTTCTCGTACGACATCACGGAACCAAGAGTGTGGGGTGAGGCCCTCGCGCAGGCGGCGCTGAACGGCTTCCCGGCCGGAGCCGCCGCCGCCGTACTGTCTCGTTGCGACGAGCGGCAGCCGTCATGCCACCGCGGCTCGCTGTCACCCGTCGCAAGCGCGCTCCTCCTGGCGACGGCGGAACCGTCGGGCATTGTCGTACAATCCGCTGTTGAACGCCAGCAGCAGGAGCACCTTGTGTCAGCGGCGGCGGCGGCGGCGGCAAGTACGGCCGGGGAGCTGACGGCGACAGCGGCGGCGGCAGCCGGCGCAGTTTCTGGTGACGGCGGCTGCGGCGGTGATGATGACGAGTTTGTGCCGCTTGCCGTGCAAGTCATGATGCGGGCCGTGCCGGATTTGTGCCTGGATACTCTGCCAGCGGCGGCGGCAGCGACATTATCGCCGGTGACGTCGCCGCCACGATCTGTTCAACGAAGCAGCGTGGCGAACGCGGTGCAGCAGCATCCACCCCACGATGACACGCACCTCCACAACCGCCATCACCACCACCATCACCGTCACAAGCACCAAAAGCAGTGCGCGGAGGAGTACGGCATACAGGATCTGCACGAATTGCACGAGCTGTACGGCAGCCAGCTGCGGTTACACCGGAACTCTCACCATCAACATCACCATCAACATCACCACCACCACCACCACCACAGCAATGACAGCCAGCAGCAGGAGCCAGGTGCAGCCGGGGAGCTAGGCGCTCGGCACCAGCCAAACGGCGGGATGTATAGTAATAGCCAGAACTGCAGCCCCAGGCGCAGCCCCGGTTGCGGCTCGCCGCCGCCGTACGGCAAAACCACAGAGCGGTCCTCTAGCGCTGGAGGTGGCGGTGGCATTGGCAGAGGAAGCGGCGGCAGCACCGGCCGATATCGCGGGGGCGGCGGCGGCGGCGGCGGCGGCGGCGGCGAGAGCTCCGACGAGGATGATCTTGAAAAGCTTGATCCGACGTGGCGGGCCTTACGGGAGCGCCGCCGCTTGCCGCCGGAGACCACGCTTCCTGCGCGTTTCATAGGTCCGGCGGCGGCCTCCAGGGAGGGTGGTGGTGCGCACAGCTTCCTTCCTGAGCAGGTGGCGGCGATGGCTGGCGCGCGGGGAGGCGCAGCGACGGCGACGACGGCAGCAATGGGGGGATCGCTCGCAGGCGGCGCCCCCGGTGGCGGCCCCAGCGGCAGTGGCGGCGCAGGGGGGGATCCTCCGTCGGTGCCGGGCGCCGTCGCCGTCAACATGCCGCCGCTGCTGCGGATGGCGGCGCCGCAGCCACCGGCGGCATTGACGGCGCCGGCGCTGATTCGCGGCGGCGGCGGGGCGCTTCTGCCGGTGCTGGGTGGTCGAGCTGGTGGCGGCGGTGCTACCGCACGCGAGCATGAGCGCAGGCACGCAGCACCAGGGGGCCCCGCCGGGGGGGGCAGCGCCGCTTGCACGTACGGGAACTCACCGATGTACGAGCTTTACGCGCTGGGGCTACTGCCCAATCCCTCACTTCTCCGGGCGTCAATGGCTGCCGCTACAGCGCGCCCCGCCAACGGAGCAGCGGCCCGCCGGTCTCACGGCCACACCAGCAGCATGCCTGCCTTCGGCGACATGACGCCTCGCCACTGCCCCAGCCCCGCCGCTTGCTCCCCCGCGGCGGCAGCGGGGACTGCGGCAGCGGTGCCGTACCATCGCATACGACAAGATCTCGCTCCTGTCAGCGGGTCCGCTGCGACCATGGCCATGCACCGCAGAGCTGCCGCTGCAACCGCCACAACCGCCAGCGCTGGAGGGCTCCGTGTTGTTGGGCCTTACAGCGCCCCTGCCAGCCCCTTGCCTTCACAATTCACCCACATGCACCCGCACGTGGTTCCCGGGTCGGCTTTGGCGACCGCGGAGGCGGCGGAGGCGGAGGTGATGACGGTGCGGTCGAAGCGGGGCCGGTCGGGGGTGCTGGACCTGCAGCACATGCTGGGCGTGGACGTGCCGCCGCCTTTGCTCCAAGGGCGCTGGGTGGGGGTTTAGGGTACGGCAACGGACGGAGGAGGTTAATGAAGCGGCTGACCCACCTGGCTGGAGGTTAGGGGAGCCGTGGTGGGTTAGAGAGCGGGTGAGGGTACGGCATCGGTTTTACGGTATGTCATGTCGTCACCTGGGCGTGTACGGAGCTGTTGGGCCTTGCTTCTGCGTGTTTCGCTTTGTGCAGTGTTTCGCTCCGTCGGAGGTAATGTATGACGGGGCAGTTGTCGGTTGTTGGGGGCTGTTGGCATGATCGTAGTGGCGGCGGTTGGTGAGAGGTCTTGCAGCTCCGGTCTGCGTTCTTCAACCAAAGTCCATTTTTGACTAAAGTCTAGTTCGACCATAGTTCATTTCCACCGGAGAGGAACGCAGCGGGGATCGTTCGGGGGATCTCACGGGCAGGAAGGAGAAGGGTATGATGTGCCGTACAAGCTGCAGCCACAGCTGCGGCAGAAGGCACGGAAGGGCGGTGAGGTGGCGCCGGCGCTGTCGGGGTTGTGCGGCGGGTCTGTTTGCGCTGTCAGCTAGTTGTGTAGCTGCTGCAGCTGCTGTAGACGTGTAGGCTTTAATTTCGGGTTATGACTACGTCTGGCGTTTAGTGACGCCGTCCAGGTTGTATGCGCACTGGTAGAGCAGCAGCAGGATCAGTTGTAGCAGCAGCAGCAGCAGCAGCTGCAGGTGCAGGTGCGAGTGAGAGTGAGATTGGAACACTATGTGGCGGCAGCCTGCTGCATGAGGTGGTGCTGTGCAGTGCGCAGGAGTGCGCGGCTGGCAAGGTGTGTGGGTGGACAGGTAGGCGGCAGAGGCGGCGTGTGGGTGAGACGTGACAGCAGCAGCAGCAGCCAAGATACGACGTTTCGGCTTCTCCTTCGGTGTACGGCGGATAGGTCACGGCTGCTGTTCGAGGGTCCTGCCGCAATATTTTAAGCTCTTCCCACTTGCATGTACATGTATCTAAGAACATTTCACACACTTCGCTGCCTGACCTACCTCACCCTCTCCTGCCGTACCCTGCCCTCCCCTCCCCTCCCCTGCCCTCCCCTCCCCTGCCCTCCCCTCCCCTCCCCTCCCCTGCCCTCCCCTCCCCTGCCCTCCCCTCCCCTCCCCTGCCCTCCCCTGCCCTCCCCTCCCCTGCCCTCCCCTCCCCTGCCCT